CCTCACGCTGCCCATTTTTCCTGCTTCTAACACATCAACTCTGAGGACAAAATGTTCACTTGCTGCCTGATATATACCCCATCTGTTATTCACTGTCAGTGCTCACAATGTTATGTTATTAATCTAATCTCCCTGCAGCTATTAGACCCCACATATTTTCACTTCTCATACAAGCACAGGTAAAACTGACAGCAATAACGATGACCTTCTTCTACCATTTGAATGGCCCAGTAAGCCGTGCCTTTTCGAGCAAGCTTGTATAATAGAAGGAACATTCCAATATTAACTGCACCTGTCCATTCCATGACATGTCAGAGCACGTCACACCTGCATTCATTGATTTTTTGGCCACCTGTTAGCAAAAGTTTTAGCAAACAATTCCCTGTTTACACATGCAGCAGAAACAGAGCAACATTAGCATCATTAGCATGGAGTCACATTTCAGGTGACCTGGTGGGTCCAGTGTTCACTCTCCTCTCCTTTTAGATCAGTTTTGTCTCCACCAGCACTTGAAGGATATATGTACTGCGTCTGGCTCTTTAGCTGCCCAATGTTTATCAGCCAGTCACTAACTTTGTATGCTACCTGCACAGCATCAAACGACAGACAGACTGACAGACTGACAGAGGGATTATCCATGATTTTTCTGCCAGAGAAGTGAGACTGAACCAAAACGAGTGAAGCTGCATAAGGAGCAACAGGAGGAGCAACAAGGAGCTGAAAGAGACTAAAAAGCTTAGTTATATATGGAACTGCAAAGTCAGTTATTTATTTCCTTCCTGTTTGTGGGTTTGTTTGTCTGTCAGCAGGATTATGGAAAAAACTACTAGCCCAATTTTCATTAAACTTGGTTGAAGATTGTAGCATGGGCAAAGGAAAAACCCATTCAATTTTACAGCAGATCCGAATCATGGGGCGGATATACAAATCATTTTTCACCCTCGTTAACATTGTGAGATTGGTATATTGTAACATCATGAATGTTCTCCCTGTGACTGAACATACAACAAAACCTAACAACCACCTAAAACCAGAGATGTTCAAAAAACCATTTCTGCCTTCCGAATTCCGATACCTTAACTTTGCATATCGTTCAATTCTGAGTACCGATCCGATACACGTGTTAAATAATATTGTTGTTTTTTAACAAGCATATACTAAGCCTGCGTGACTGCTATCATTGTTGTATGACCTGGCTCAGGTTAAATCCTTCATCAGAATCCAGTAGGGGTCATGACTGCTATACTGGGAAGAAAGATGTGACCCCAAAACAGGACCCCGCTACTTCCTTCCGGGGCTAATTAATTACCGCATTTTAGGCCGTATGTAAGGAATTTCTGTGGCTGATATCAGAACAACACTACCTAAAACATCAGTGTAAAAACGATACACTTTGGCATATGGGTTGGTCTCCACCAGTCTCCAATTCACACTACACACAAGTCATCTGACCAATAGTTTATATAAAATATTGAGTGGAGCAGTTTTAGTCAACATCTTTAACATGGTTTTCAGTTACACCATTAGACACAGTGCTAAAGGCTTTGTAGGGCAGAAGGCTTTGTGTAAGACAGTGCAGATCTGACTGCTTTGAACCATTCTGATCCAACCTGACTGACAGTGAACAATCACTGCTGTGGTATAATTATAAACTAGATTGCTGTAGAGGTTTGGGTTTGGCATCAAAGAGCAAAGTGTTGTTCTTTTAATCTGTTCTGGTGGATAATAGCTTCATCAATCACAACAAGTTACAATGTTGATCCCAACGACAAGTCTGGGCAAAGGTGGGCCTTTAACTACCTCATACACATTCACACACAAAAATGCCAATTATGGCATGCTCACAGACACACTGTTCCATGCACATGAACAAGCACAGCCTCATCTAAGTGCACGATCACACTGTTGAAAAGGAGTGGCTGCACCAGACCTGCAGAAACTTGGCACCTGATACATTTGGCTCTACTGCCAAAGAGGTAAATGATATGTAGTCACAGAAGAGACTGAAACACTTGCACATATGCACCAGTGTCATCAGCCTAAATCTACATCTTGTCTGTGTCATTTCAGCTTACATAGATCTCTACACAACAGAGGCACATAAGCTACAGAATTTAATTAGAGATCCAACTTCAGCAAACATCTAAAAAGTAGTATAGCACCCTTTTATATGTATACTAAAATATGCTGCTTTGTCATTTGGACTTGACATTACAATGCCAGACATGTACTTACGGGACAGTAAAGTTCTCCACTGCTGAGCAGCTGGAAAACATTTCACAGAAAATGTGCACCAAGATCCTTTTGTGTTTTTTATAAGATTATTTTTGTACGGTTTTATACCATTTACCAGGAGACACCCTTTAGACAAAAGAAATGTGAGGATTGACTGTCGGCAATAAAAACATATCCTGTCATTATTTCCACTAAGAGAAGAGCGTCTACTTTGTTCAATAAAAGGAATTCAATTTGAACTTTTCAGATATCATTTCAGGTTTTGGTAGTGTTTGGTTTTTTATAGTAATGTGTTTGTGCCTTGGATTTTGAGCCTAATTCAGTTCAACAGATCAGTTTATTCTTTCATTCAGTTCCATTCTTTTAGTATTTAGTAATCATATGATTGGGTGGCATGGCACCCAGTCATATGATTACTGATCCTGTTTTCATTGTTACAAGTCAGGTTTGCTCATAATTCTTCTCATTAAAAACATCTAGTTATCCCAGTTTGACTTCGTACTTAATACTGATGGGTTGGAGCATTTCGTCCTAAACTTACAGCGAGTCCCACTCACTCAAAACTCAGAGTTTGACACTAGAAGGATGTTTTCACATTAATCTGCTAAAAGTGGAAAGTTTCTCTGTGCTCATTGAAAATCAGATTTTAAGGAGCGGGCCTACCAGCAGGATTTGTCAGTCCTGGTCCAGTATGCAACTTGTACATTGTGATCCACCAGTGCACATCCACTGAGAATGGACTTTACAGTGAAGGAGGAGACATCTCGTGTCCAGCAGGAAAACTTGAAACAACATTTGCATAGTCAGAGATTCTGGAAGTTTTAACGAGGTAGAAGGAGGAGATGACTTTTTAAGGGTTTAAATGTGGAAAAACATATCAGACACACATTATTGTTTCAAGCAGACTATTTATATATGTCTTAATACATGTCTGGAGGGGATCTTTGCTTACATCTATCAACACCCAACAGCATTGCAGTATAATCAGCAGCAGCAATAAGAGATTGCAGCCTCTGGAGGTGAACAAGGAACTGCTATGGAAGAATATATTGAAGTTTGTAATGGACAGAAACATCACATCCAGACTGAGGGGTATAGCACCATGCTAAATGGTAAAAAATGGTTTGTTGTTTGATTCAACTTTCGGGCTCTAAAACAGAAAAGGCCACAAAGCGACTTTTGAAAAGCAGTAATCAGCCTTTAGAATTAAGCAATGGTTTGTTATTATCAAAAGATTAGTACTTTTAGTAAATGTGATCGCTTCTAAATTGTCATTGATATCATTTGAGAAAATGTGACATGTTTATGCACCATAATTGTTTTGTGTTGTTGTGTTTTGTTTTCCTTGTTTTCCATATTAACTGGGTGTTGTTTTCAGTCGACACTTGTAGTATCAGTTTGTATTGTCTGTTACTGCTGTAAATGCCCATGTTATTATTATTCTGTTCTATGGGATTTTCATTTGAGCTGTCTCTGATAAACCAGCAGAGGTGCGTGCGTCCTCATAACAGACACGCAAAGCGCTCCAGCATGCCAAGGAGAAGCACTTGAGTCTTTATTTAATCCTGGGCAGCCCTGCAGGATGATGCAGAGGACAACCTGTTATGTAACACTCGGAATGCTGCTGCAGCACAAATGTCCATTACACACCGGGGCACGCTTTACTGCACTGTGGACGCAACGCCACAGGCAGTACCACACACACTGCTGCACAATGCCATTCATAAATGGCAGCAGACGGCCATGGACAGCCACACACAAATACATGTGTACAGTGCACAGCCAGTGATGAAGTTGCACATGTTAAATGCCCACACATGCAGTATGGGTGCCATAGAGCCATACACCTGTACTGTGTGCGCGCACACACACACATTCAGTCATATAGGAGACTGCAAATCGTTTAAAATCCCCTGTTACTGACTGCACTGTTTACACGAATGCAACCATAATGACATATTCCCAAGAAAGACATTATAGAGGGGGTTTAACTTTGCTGGCTGGGATTAAAACCCCACATCCTTGCTGAAAGAGGGAGTAATCACTAGTTGGAGAAGAAGCTTTAAGTAGAAGGCATTCACTTTTATAGTGTTTTATCAAAAAAAAGAAACTTGACAGACTCTTGTCAGCTTGGCTATAATGGAGAAACACCGACGTCACCTTTCCTCGAAACATGGCAATTTTCTGCAACGGAGAGGGGGCGACGCCAAACTCCGTTCATAAATGTGTCAGTTTTATGCTGTTTGGACTGTAACGACCCTACATGACAGAACAAGTCTAAGCTTTGAGTTATTCTACACATTCAGAGCTCCGTCTTTGATTCATCGTGCAGTCAGTATAATAAAGCAGCACTTAGGCGATGAACTCTTTATTTTTACTATTGTTTTTACCATTGTTTCTACCCTACTGCACACTGTTATGGTGTCACGGCGGAGAGCAACATCGAGCAACATGAACACGTTTTAAAGTTAAAATTGTGCCGCTTTTTGTATCACACGTACGCCGAATTTGGCTCAAGAGTGTGTCGACTTCGAAAAAGTGTTCAGTCAGTTTCAGCGAGGGGCCTACTTTTACCGATACACGAGCCAACATTACACCGTTACATTTTTAATGGAGTTTGCCACTAGAAACCTATGGCCAAAACGGCGCATTCCTAAGCTAGTTAACCACTTGTCGTTAATACACCAGGACAGCAGCGGTATCAAACAGTGTGAAGCCACTCATGCAGACAATTGTAAGTTATAACAGATGGAAGTCACACCTACCGTGACCGTCGTGGCCGCCCGGTGTGGGTGAACCTGCCGTCCGCAGCCTCTACCTGGTTCCCCCCCGTCCACAGCGTGGAGGCGTCCACATCACCTTGCTCGAGCACATTCTTCCATTCAAACGTATTCCTTTAGGTCGGGAGTGCAACGGTCCAGCGGACTAACCCCTCTTTAGGAGATCCGCGATGCTGCAGTCCTACAGTCTGAACAGCGGAGTCACGAACAAGCCCACACACACACACACACACACACACACACACACACACACACACACACACACACACACACACACCTGTGGGATAAACAATATTAATGGATCAAATGAATCATCACACCTCCAGCCTCCTCACGTGCTCAGGGACTATATTTGTAGGCGGAGGAATAACGTTTTGTAAAAATATTACAATATACGTTTTCTTAAAAATGTATTTATGTGATGACACTTTATTTTAATATAAGCAATGAGTGCTTGGTGCTGATTTTAAACTAGTATATTTTATACAAGCATTTCATGCGTTTTTACTTATAATCAGTATTATTATATCATTTTCATTCCATTATGTATTTTACTTTTTTATTTCTTTGGTTTTTTATTGGATGACAAACTTCAATGGGGCGCTAAATTGCACTGCAGATACAGCTCACCTCACCTCACCCTGTCCTACCACTGGACGCGTGTGACACTGCCATCTAGTGGCCAAAGGAAGACTGGCAAGTGGAGGTTCTGCATTCTAGTCCTGACTCAATCACAGTGCGTCAGTTCACCGTTGGAGCAGTTTGACTGATGTGTGACAGTGTAAAACTGAGACACTCTGGTGTAACAGTTTCATACTGAAATGGTGTAAAACTATCAGCTTACAGTGTGTTATCATGGAACGGTAGCAGTCTCACTACTTAATAATGTAACATACAGTGTAACATAGGGTGTAGGTGTTCAGTTCAGTGCAACTTAGTCATGTTACAGTTCAGGAAATAGACATTTCCAAATGAGAAATACAGAAATTATAAAGACTAAAATTTAAATCTTAATTTCATGGACAGGAGATTTTAACTTGATTGTACCTGCATTAGGTGCATCCGTCTGGCATCCACCAGCTGGATAGAAGTTAGAGTTCAGATATAACATTAGCTATGTAACATCAGTCAAAGTAAAGTGCTTTTGAGAGCAATACAGCATACAGTATGTAACATAATAGAATCAGATTTCATTCAGTGACAGTTTGCATGAACTCACACTTCTGCAGGGGCTGATATAGAGAAATGCATTGGGTGGCGCAATGGTGGCAGGAATCTAATCACAAACAATCATATATATTAATATTTACTTGGAAAAGCCCCCAAATGAAGATATTTGAACTCAAAAACATTACATTACAGTGGCACATTAGTAAAGCACTGAATAGAAATATCTAAAGAAACATCACAAATTGTTTTTTTTACCAAATCTTAACACATTTTTCCTACAAACTCCTAAAACTGCATGTATTTTGTATGTATCACATAATTAAAAAATCTGGTCTTAACAGATCATTAAAATAATTTGTATTTCATGTTGTTGTTTAAATTAATCTAAATCGATGTTTTAAATTTGACAACAAACTGGGGTAGCAAACCTTTTTTGCTACCCCAGTTCCACCCCTGCACTTCTTCATCCCAGATTCAGCATGACAAAGAGTTTCACAATCATCTGAACTGTACACACTGACTGTGTCACTCTGCAATGTGACAGTCACGCTCTGCCTGGCTGCTGTGTGACATATGACGCATTGGCAATGTAATAAACCTGATTTAATTAGAAGCATTGTGAGTAGCCACAGTACACAAAAATACAAAATATGACACCATTTACATACACAGCTGCAACATAGTTTATTCCAAGTGTATTTGAAATTTTGATATACAGGAGATGGTTAAGTGATAAAATCCAAATCCTGATTAAACTCCTCATTAATGAATCACTGAAGGGTGGAAGAGCCCTGCTGGGTGGAGGTGGACTTATAGAATAGCTAGTACTAGAATATAGAAACAGTAGAGGAAATCAATAAACAACAATAAATATATAGAAAACAATAAATCTGTATGGGTTTTATCTCGTGCGTTCAAAGACAGGCGGGAGAGGGTAGAATATGCGCACGCGCAGCTGTGGTTGATCCTCGGAGCGCACGAGCACGCTCTTGGCGAGTGCCGTGAACAAGTATGAAGTTTGAAAAAATAACGGATTGGACGCTTAGTCATAAGTATCAGAATAAAACAGGAAGTATTTAAAAAATGGTACAGTCATTTTTTTTTTACCGCAATTCCAGCAGTTGGCCTCGGTACACCATATACATGCTAGTCTTGTTGGGATGCAGAAATGCTATCTACAGTATACTCTTATCAGATGGGACCGCCACTACTGCTAAAGCTTAAGACCTTTTTTCCTTCCAATATGGAACTACTGGGTTTTATTTTGAAAGGTACAGCCGGAGGCGGTGCATGTTATTGTCGTTAACCTGACAGCGGTGTAGTACGTCACGCAGTAACGCAGCTGTTATCAGCGTCACTATCCATCGGAGACAGAGACAGAGGGAGCGCGGGTACCGTTAACGACGGGTGGCGGTGGGATAGAATCGTTCCCCTTCCAGATTAACCAAACAAAGCCGCGATACGGTGGGACGGAAGTCATGGAAAATATTCCAGGGAAGGTCTGGAACGGCTGCCACGGAGAATATACCTCATTTGTTGACGTGAAACGGGGAATATAACAACATACGGTAGACCACACAACACACACAACACGTCGGGCTACTCTTTCTCCATCTCCACCATTTTGGTTGTCAGTGATGGAGCACATTCGGACGCCCAAGGTAACGACACTCGGCATTTAAACACCAGCGACATGGCTTTTTCTCTGCTTCGTCTTAGTTTCTTGCCGGTTTGCCCGTTCGTTTCGCCTTTTCTACCATGACACGTTAGGTCCTTCTTCCCCTTCTGTCTCTATCCATCTCTGCGTCTCATCTCTGTCTTCCTCCGTCTCTCGGCACAGTGTTTTCAGTGTATGCGAGGCATCCCGAAACTGACGTCTGCCTGTTGTTATTAAGGGACAGCCTGCAGGAGGACGTCCTTATCATGCTAGCAGTACAGTTTGTGGCACCGTGGACTTCAAACACCTCGAGTGCAGGGAGTGTAGGCTAGTTTATCTTCTGCATAACAAATACTTCACCACCTTATTCACAGGAAACATCCCAGTGAAGCCAACATCATGTGTCCGATAATAGATTCCGAATCCCTATCCATAAACACACCTGGTGCATGAGGCTGTTATGATGCACATGTGCACCTGTTACCATAGACATTCAGTTATTATTATAATGTTTGGTATTAATGATAATGTGCAATATAGTCGAGATGTTCTGCCCAACCATGACGTAGCATGTGCTGGTAACCACCATTTTCCTCCTGTCTGCATACCTTGGTAAATACATCCAGGCCTCATGTGGCCCCCATCCTCCTCGTTACCACATCATTATGGTCTGACCCTGGTTATAACGGATATAGATGAGTTAAGAGGGCGTGCAGAGTATGCAGGATCTATAATGCAGCATGCATAACAGTATCAGATCCTCATAACTAGCTCTTATTATGTCCCAACACTTGACAGAGGCACGTGTGTTTGTTGTTCTGTACAAACACACGTTCCATACAAAACCATGAATGACCTTGTTATTCAGACACGCTTAAGTTTGAACTCAGCGAACATTGTAATCTGTTGAGTCATGGTTAGAGGATACTGTGAGCTATTATTATTCGTTACAGTTAAATCGTTTATGTGCATGTCTTGGTGTGTTCTTAACCATTTGTCAAGTTTGACCTGTGTATTTTCCCATCACTGACCATTCTGTGCCTCTGCTAGGTGGAAAATGTGCGTCTCCTGGACCGGTCGTCGGGCCAGAGGAAGGCCAGCACTGGGACTCTCTACCTTTCTGCCACGCACACCATCTTTGTAGAGAACAACCCTGAGACACGCAAGGAGACATGGGTAAGCTGGAGCCAGGAAGCCGTACCTGTTAGTCATGAGTACCACCGTCAACACCTGATCCATGTCACAGTCAAGGTTAATAATATTCATATTACAGCTGCAGTAGGTAAGCTTGGAATGAGCAATCAATCAAATTTCTCAGCTCTGATTGGTTGTTTTTGTTCAGACCCGGTGGATTCTTGCAAATGTCATTAAGAGCACTAGGAGGAGGAATTCAGAGAGGAAGGAGGAACCTGATTGTTTCACAGATTATCTGTCTCATGTACTACTGTCAGGATATAGTGAAGGTTTCAGCAAATATGACAAAAAGTTATTTTTTAAACATTACCTACTGCAGCTTTAATATGTATTGTATTGTACTGTACTGTATTTCTCTTTATCCATCTTCACAACACTGCCTGCTTGAGATCTCAGATGGCTTAGTTTAAAGTGAATCCTGGCTTTCTACCTTACTTTGCTGACTCATACTCGGGTCTTGCTCTTGACTGGCTGTTCCTATGCAACTGAATGGACTGCTCTTAAATATTCCTCCATCCATGCGTCTACCAAGAAACAATATCTGCCTGTTTTTAGATAAAGTGGTGGATTTTATTATACAGAACAGAGAGAAATGTGTGTTGTAATGTGCATCAACAGCAGTAAAGCAGAGACTAATACTGCTGCTCCATCTGAATGTGGGTAGTTCTTTAGACAGGTTTGTGACTGCAAGTGAATGGCAATATGAAGACATGTTGTGACAGAAATATGATCTGCAGAGAAGCACTTGTTAGACACACTTATGTCGTATTAGTTACAGAAATATCTAAAATAGTTACTCCAAGCAAAAACACAACCTCAATGGTGTGAGTAACAGCTGAACAAGATTTTAGCAGATAATTTGATCTTTTCACGCTTTGACTACTGAAGAAAGGCTGGATTAAAATTGCAGTGTAGCTGTAGGCACCATCAAACAGTGTTAAAGAAGTTATGTGCAAGTTACTGCTTAAAATGTTTCAGCTCAAATCCTGGATATGTTTTGGTTTATTACTTGGATGGAAAACTACATGAGATCATTGCTCTTTAAAAAAATCATCGTATCTACATTTAGTAGCTCCAGTACAAAAGGAGATGCACATAAAAGCTGAAGACATAAAATAATCACAGTGACACACACTGGCCTCAGTCATAGCCTTTGGACTTGCAGGTACAATATGTCATTCTGTAGCTCGTCCTCTTCTTCAAGTGCAACATTGTCATGATGACAGTAGGACACTAAGGAATTGTGAAATCTTCATCTGGCATGCTTGTATTCTTAAATAAAAACCTTCCCTGTCTTTTGAAAGAGCTGCTATTACACCATCAATGACTGTGTGAGTTTCCAGACACAGGAAGGAGAGATGCCACCCTTCCCCCTACCAAATCTCCTGCCAGAGGTGGCGGAGGACACTGCCCCATCCCTCTGGACCTGACTAGATAAAACAGGCCTCCAGGGGTGTCAGATTTCACCCAACAGGCACCGACTGTATCTACTGGATTAGCAGGAACAAAGAGGACAATTAGCCTATGTCAAAACGAAACGGCTGCTAAAGCAACTGTTTACCGCTTCTTCTTCCTCGCTGCACGGCATGTGCCGTGAGAAAAGCACAGGAGCTTCCCCATAAAGTGATGTTGACATTCCTTCCTGAATATCTGAGATCACACGACAGATTACGCAATAATGTTACACATGTTGATGTCAGTCATTTTCTTAGTGCTGACCTTTGTACATACAGATGAAAAGCTAATTAGTTCATAAAAGGACCTTATGGAGAAAGTGTGTGTGTGTGTGTGTGTGTGTGTGTGTGTGTGTGTGTGTGTGTGTGTGTGTGTGTGTGTGTGTGTGTGTGTGTGTGTGTGTGTCCACAGTGCATAATAGAACAGATGTGTGTGTTTCAGGTGCTGCACAGCATGGTGAACAGTGTGGAGAGGCCACCCACCATCCCTGCAGGGAGTCAGCTGATCCTGCATTGTAAGGACTTCCGGGTCTACCAGATCCTCATTCCACAGGAGAGAGACTGTTTGGACGTCCACACCTCATTGGTCAGGTTGTCACGACCAGGTGTGTGTGTGCATGAAATCACTCTAACACGCTTTACAGCATGTTAAGCACATAAAAAATTCTGATTTCATGATTGCTCTCCTCTTAGAGAAGTACAGCGAGCTGTACTGCCTGTCCTTTAATCCCAATGTGAACAAAGAGGACAGAGAAGAGTCATGGAACTTCATAGACCTCATGACCGACTACAAGAGGATGGGAGTTCCTAACAACCTGTGGGTTGCTACAGCAGCCAACAGTGAATACAGGGTCGGTCTAATTGTGACTTGTGCGTGTGGTGGTTTTAAGAGGAATAGGACATCCAGTCAGTCAGGATGTTGGAATCATATTTCAGGAGATAAGGTGTAAGAGATTAAAACTACTTCTTGTATAAAACAGGGTGGAGTTTAAGTGAAGTTTTACCTAGAGCCATTACTCTAATGGTCTGTAGCTGCCTACATTCTCTTGTTAAGTGCAGTGAATGTGCCCTGTGCTCAGGACATTTACAAGGTCATAGATAAGATAGTACAAGCCTCCCTTCAGCCTCACTGACTTCTTATCAGCAGCTTCCTCCTCTAACCCGTGGAGCACACAGCAGCGCTCTCAAGGAGAGACCATAACTCTAATTTTTAGCTGAGTCTGGCTCCAGACTTACTGTATATCATTATATAATATTAACAGCCTATCAAGTTTTTAAATACTTACTTAAATATTTGACAGGATTCCTACTGAAAACATGGAAAACCTGGAAATTTAGAGACTAAACTTTTCCTGTCATTAAAACACTTGGAAATTGAATAAAATGACCAAATATCCTGTAAATAATGTAAATAGTTGTAAGTTGTATGTGCTCACAAACAGGATGAACAGGAACACAGTTCAAATAAGTTTCATTTACTGTGAATCAATGTGTTTCTAACCTAAAGTGTGTGTGTGTGTGTGTGTGTGTGTGTGTGTGTGTGTGTGTGTGTGTGTGTGTGTGTGTGTGTGTGTGTGTGTGTGTGTGTGTGTGTGTGTGTGTGTGTGTGTCCTCTCCCAGGTGTGTGATACGTACCCATCAGAGCTGTTTGTTCCAAAGTCAGCCACGCCTGCCATCATCGTGGGCAGCTCACGGTTCAGGAGTCGGGGACGCTTTCCTGCCCTGTCCTACTTCCACCAGGACACGCTGGTCAGTGTGACACACACAGAGGAAGAATTATGTGAATATAATTAATTTAGCCTGTCAAACGAGTTAAGTAGACAATAAAAGGTATCCACAACATCAAAATCATATGTTGGAAATGTGTGTGTGTGTGTGTGTGGGGGGGGGGTTATGACTTTATTTATAACTTTTTGCATCAGTAGAAAGGTAAAAAGTTAAAAAGACAAAGATCTGTACCACAGTAATGTGTGCGATGATGATGATGATGATGATGATGTTTCACACAGGCAGCAGTGTGCCGGTGCAGTCAGCCACTGTCAGGCTTCAGTGGACGCTGTCAGGAGGATGAGATGATGCTGCAGGCTGTGATGAAGTCCAACCCTGGCAGTGACTTCATATATGTGGTGGATACAAGGCCCAAGGTAACACACATCCCCACACACACTTCCCCACACGCACTTCCCCACACACATCCAAGTATAGGCACAGTGAATCATATGTACAATGTGTTATAATACTCTCATATACAATGCAGTACTGTGTGTGTGTGTGTGTGTGTGTGTGTGTGTGTGTGTGTGTGTGTGTGTGTGTGTGTGTGTGTGTGTGTCCAGCTGAACGCCATGGCGAATCGAGCCGCAGGTAAAGGCTACGAGAATGAGGACCACTACACTAACATCAAGCTGCAGTTCATTGGCATTGAAAACATTCACGTAATGAGGAGCAGCCAGCAGAAAATCATCGACGGTAAGAAGGCAGAGTGAGCGAGTGAGCGAGCGTGCGTGTGTGTAGAGAAAACTATATAAAGACACAGTGTGCGATGGAAACAGGGAAACAGCTGATCAAAGAGGAAGAAATATTCACATTATCACACAGAGCTGCTATCAGTAAATACAGACCTTCTCTGATAGTATCTTTTCCTATTTCCCTGTGTGTGTGTGTGTGTGTGTGTGTGTGTGTGTGTGTGTGTGTGTGTGTGTGTGTGTGTGTGTGTGTGTGTGTGTGTGTGTCTCTCTCTCTGTCTGTCTGTCTGTCTGTCTGTCTGTCTGTCTGTGTTGTACATGCAGTGGGTGAGATGAGATCGCCATCCATGACTGACTTCCTGTGGGGTCTGGAGAACTCTGGCTGGCTCAAACACATTAAAGCCATACTAGATGCTGGGGTCTTCATAGCCAGGGTGTGTACACACACACACACACACACACACACACACACAAGAGGCAGGCACTAAGATGGACACACACAGCAGCCACAAACCACACTTTTAATTATTTATACTGTCTGATTGGGTTATAATAATATAATCTGTGTAAGAACACATCAAAGTATAACAGGGCTGCAACTAATGATTCTTTTCGTTAGCTTAATTTATCTTTTTTATTCATCTATTAATTGTTTAGTCTACAAAATATGAAAATGAAAAACAATTGTTTTAAGTGATTATACATGAAAACCTACCTATGAATATCATATTCTATTTCTGACAATAGATCCTCCTGAATGTTACCCACTGGACCTTTTTAATCAATAGCAATAAAACAATTAAGTGCGACCAGTGCCGAAGTGTAAAAACATCAATAAAATGCAAAGAGTCCAATGACGTTGTATAAAGTGCTATCAGTTCATGAGTCCAATATGTTCCATGGAATGCAAAATCATTTTCTGTAGTTGCAAAGTAAATTTTGAAAATTGCTTCATGGCACAAAGTGGTGATTGCGAGAGAGAAAGAAGCTGACTGTCTGCAATATGACAGAAGGAGCGCAAAGGGAAAAAATCCCATCCAACATGTTCTTTTCAACTTTAGAAAGAAATGGAACCTCCTCTCTCTCCCTTTCTCTCCCTCCAGGCAGTTGCTGATGAAGGTGTGAGTGTGTTGGTTCACTGTTCAGATGGCTGGGACAGGACGGCTCAGGCCTGCTCTGTAGCCAGTATACTATTGAACCCATTCTACAGAACCATTAAAGGACTCATGGTAACACACACAATACTTACAATCTCTTATTCTTATCCAAAGAACATTAGCGGTTCTTTTCTCTAATTTGATCCTCATCTTCCTCTCTACTCTCTCTCCTCCTTATTTCTTCCGCTTCCTCTCCTCTCGTCCAGGTGCTGATAGAGAGAGACTGGGTTTCCTTTGGACACAAGTTCTCCCACAGGTCAGTAACCGGCTCTGCCTTCAACGGTGTCTGCAGAGCAATATCATGACAGTCATTTAGTGTATTTTAGTTTGTAAGACAGGGCCAGCCATTATTCTCCAACAGCTGAACCTTGCAGTTACACATCTTCTATCAAACATTTGTGCATGTTATGATGGCAGGCAGAAAAATATAAAAATGATTTAGCAACAATAAAAGAAGTTTCTGGCAGTAAACTGAAATTGGATGTCCCTATTAGTTAGTGTGGTCTATATATAGATGAAGTGAGTGTGTAAAAAATGTGTGACAGACAGAAAAATAGGCAATTTTAAGTACTAGGTCGACTAATTTGGATCAGTAAAAAAAATCCCTTCAAGTTTTTATTGAGAGAGTTCCTTTTCTCCACAGGATAACAACTAAACATAAGAACAGTTACACCAGAAAAGTAGTTGTCAATGTTATCACTTACATTGGAGACAAAGTCCAGATACACCAGTTCAAACAGTGACAGAAATAATTAAATAATACATATTTTCATAATTAAATCATGTATATTTTTTATTGTTATTAATAAATTAAAGACCTGTCATTTAGCTTCTCTTGCCTATCTGCAGTTACGCCATCTAAATACGCTTGACGAACAAACCAAAGGCCACAAAAGTCTGACTTTCTTTCATCTTCATATCAAAAATGAACTTCTTAGCCAATCACAAAAGTATTTAATCCAACAGAGCTACCACTCTTTAACTTTGTTCAACCTTAAAAGTTGGTGAAAGTAAAATTAGAAAAATGGGAACTTTCTCAAGTTAACTTACAATCAAGAGGGGTCCGATAGGTCTCTATGACTATCTCTGTCATAGATAGGAACCTTAAAGGCATACTACGCAGGATTTGTGCATTGCTGTTTGTAAACACACCATTCAAAGTTTGCGACTCCTCCCCAGCTTGAGTGAACCAGAGAGAGCACCTTTGGTCGAGCTACATAGAGAATGAATGAAGAGAGAAGCAAGGTTAGCGGGAACAAAGCAGTGACTCAGAGAAATAAAATGTTAATGTCTGATTGTTTCACAGCGGTTACGTTCTAAAGCCCAAACACGACCACACCTCCGCACAGCCCTGCAGGAAGGTGCCATATATCTGGATTTAGTGTGAATGCAGCTAAAGTGTAGCTTCATCCTGTCTGCCCTTGGTCAAACAGACACATAGAATTGTAATTGCTTATTATTCTTCTTTTTTTTTTTTGCGTGTGTGTTTCTGTGTAAATGCTTCATCTTCGTGTTTGTCCTTTCAAAATGTAATAAATAATTGGTCACACAAGGAAAATCAATACTTGATTATTTTTGAAGAGTGAATAGTGTGATGGACAGTTAAGACGGAGCTGTGTTTGCCCCTGCAGGTACGCTCACCTGGATGGAGATCCTAAAGAGGTGTCCCCCGTCATCGATCAGTTCCTGGAGTGTGTGTGGCAGCTGTCTGAGCAGTTCCCATGTGCCTTTGAGTTCAACGAGCGCTTCCTCGTCGCCATACACACACACGTCTACTCCTGTCATTTTGGGACCTTCCTGGGTAACTGCCAGAAGGAACGCAGGGATATGAGGTAGGACTGACGCACACATACACTACAGACGTACTGGATTGTCTGAAGAGATTTTAAAATCAAACTGTAATTACAGTATGTAGTTCTTAGAGATAAGCATGATAGGCAGTTTTTACTCATTTTCCTGTCTAAATGGTACATAAAGGTTTAATTTAATTTCATTTCATTTGTGTTATTGTGTTTTTTTATTATCATAACTATTTAAAATTCACTTTCCACAGTCAAATATTTACAGAACTATGTCAGTTTTATTGCCACTGTATACTCGTTGACACTGGTAAAACTTAATGTCTGGTACATAATTGTTTATCTCAGAGCTTCTTTTTTGCTATGTCAAGGACAGAAAAAAATTTAATTTGAAAAATTGCATACAGTTTATAACCATAAAAAGTGAGAAGGCATCACATTCTCACTTCTATAACAGTTCCACTGCAGTTAAAGTAGGAAGCATACAGAAAACAGCACCTTGTGACCTTGTTTATGATGCAGCGCAATAACATCCATATAATCAATTCCTTTTGGTGCTGAGTTGTCCTGTCCTGAATGAACTTCTGCCACATGGGGCTGGATGTCTGCCAGCAGCTTTGAGGGAGTGAAGTCCTTTTTACTTTGGGTGGGTGTTTTGACCACAGGCTTCGGGAGCGGAGTCATTCTGTGTGGCCTCAGCTGTGGAAGGACAGAGCCGAATACACCAACCCTCTGTACAAGGCCGAGCTGAGCCAGACTCAGGGCGTCCTGAGACCCAACACCACCCCCTACTGCTTCAAGTGAGTCACTGCAGCAACACACAGCAAAAGCTGTACTGTACTAGGTTCAGAAGTGTACCATCTGTATGTAGTGGGACATACAGCCGTAATTCTTCTTACAATTTAAAATCTTGTCTTGGGTCATGTCATGTGACCATTGAAAAGGCAAAATAAATACTGCTGGATTTAGTATTAAATATGTATTTATTGCCTTACTGATATAATATATTTTGTACCTGTATATTTTAAATTATTAAAACAGTGAACTGGGTTCTGCATCCTGGAAAACCTGAAAATCTAGAGACTAGTTTTCCAGTCATGGAAACACCTGGAAACTGATAAAAATAATCAAATATTGTGGAAATAATCTATGTTGTCCTGTAAATTTTTAATTGTATTTTGTGTGGCCAAATTATTGTTTGTTGTTCAGTTAGAGGAAAGCTGTAGTCACTTCCCCTAAATTATAAATACCTTTGGCTGACCACCGTTTTTGACCAAGTTCTTTCCTGTATTTTAAAGACAAACCACCTGAGAATGTCCTGGAAAATTATTTCTTAAAAAGGGTAAGAACCCTTAGTCAAACATGACTCCAGAGAGTATAATTTTTGTGGCACAAGATGTCTCACTGTAAAGTCCATTCTCAGTGGATGTGCACTGGCTGCTTCAAGTTTCTACATCACACTGTACAAGTTGCATACTGGACCAGGACTGACGTTGTAACTATTTGTGATGTCGAATAGATCAGATTTTCAATGAGCACAGAGAAACTTTCCACTTTCAGCAGATCAAACTCTGTACATACATCATTCAAACATCACACTGTAGGAACAAGATTTTCCACAGGAGGGGGACTTTAAAAGGAAAACATCAACCATAATATCATTCCTTTACTTTCTCCCTATGTCCTTGTCTCTAGAATGTGGAAGGGTCTCTATAACCACATGGAGAAATCAACACCTCCTCGCCAGTCGCCTGCCGACTTCCTGTCCGCCGTGAGGGAGGAGTCCCAGCAGCTGGAGGAGGAGCTGACCAATCATCAGGAGGTACCGCCAGGAGGAACCGCCCACCACCACCTGGGCTCCAGACAAGGCATACAACACACAAAGACACCCCCTGTTATGACACCACTATAACCCCAATTCAACATCCATCTCTCCAGAATGAGCCTGAGAATCTCTCCCTGAGCTGCTGTTTCAATGACACACTAAATACAAGCAGAAAAATACACACTGTACATGAAATAATAGTAGTGAATTGGAACCTTTGGCACCTTATCTTCCTCATCCTGCAAAATTTGGAACTATTGAAGTTTTCCAGTTTCCAACTGGTTTTATTTATTTGAAAAAACATGTCAGTTTGTGGACAGAGCAGAGAAAAAGTGCATGAATGAATCCTCTGCATACTGTTATCCACACTGTGAGCCAGTGTCTGGGTGGGGTATACAACCCTTCCTGAAGAGTGACAGTATTTAGGAAAGACAATCCATATGTTACAGGGAATTTGTTTTTATACAACAAATAAATGTCTTGTTGAGTTCTGTCTCTAATCACTGGCCCTGCTGAAGTTCCGCCATCCACAGTTCCCACCCCCTAACCCAGTGGTTCTTAATGGTTTTTCATTCATTAATTAATCATTTCCATAGCCCCCTTTGAAATAAATAAATAGTCAAGTACCCCCTGACCAGCACAAAACACATTTGGTAAAATTGGTTCAGTACAGTGCTGTACCATCAGTGTCTGATTTATTAATAAAAACACAATAAAAACCCATCACTAAATTCATGCAATAACACCAAGACTGCATTGTAGTTGCATTAAACTGCATGTTTTTGATGAGTCACACATACAGTTGACAAACGTGTGCTTGTGCTTCAATGAGGGTCTTTGTCTCTTTTTTTATGTATTGTATAATTATTTTAGGAATTATGCATGATATAGGCTGTTTTTTTATACAGTCACATACCCCCTGCAGTACTCCAGAGTACCCCTAAGAGTACACGTGTCCCCATTTGAGAAACACTATCCTAACCCACTCAAGAGCCACAGTGAGTGAAGAGTTTAATATGGCTGATAAATGAATGGAATCCCTGAGCTAAAGTGTGTGTCTCGCTGTCCTCCTGTCTGTGCAGAGGATAGCAGCCCTGACAGGGAAGCCAATCACGTGGGAGCAGATCAAGGTTCCGAGGAGGACGACTAGCCACCTGCAGCAGAGACACTGCGGGCCGGACCCGCCCACCACTTACACAGACCCAATCACCAGCCCTGCACAGGACAACGGTCACGCACTTTCCTCTGAACCGGCCAATCAGAAGGCTCAAACCAAGGACCCCGTCCTCATCCTGCCTCTAGGGCCACACACCCACCTCAAGAGCCACGACCCCGACGACCTCTCCACCTGCAGCGACCTAGAGTCGGGCGTGGCCGACCTCAGCAGCCGCTCGTCCAGCGGCGGGGAGGACAGAAAGGACCCGGACTCAGATGAGGTTGCCTTTGCTACTGCCTGACTGGAAAAAAGGGAACCCTGCAGCCTGGCTGGAAGGTGAAAGAGGAAGAGGCCGCTCTTACAGTAGATATTTATTCAAACACCTGGAGGGAGCAGAGGCAGAGTTAAAGATGGCGACTGACTGACTGAAAGGCGGTTGGATTTTATGTCTTGTGTTTTCGTAGTCTAAAGGGAGTCAGAGAAACCTCACCGGCTGTTTTAACAGTTCACCTTTTTGACAAAGGCACTGAAAGACGCCATTTTAATGTTTTAATTTGACATTTTTTTAATTTGTATGTTTTGTTGCAGTTTTTTTTATATGTGGATATTGTTTAGGTGGGCTCAATTACTGTCAATTGCACTTAGTTTAAAGATTGCACTGTTACTACTGTGAGACGGACAAATGTTACGTGAAACCAGACTAATAATGTCGGACACAGGTTCGATGAGGGGAGGGAAACAACCGGCTGAAACACTTTTCAGAGAGTAGAACAAACACACTCACTAGACCAACCTTAACTTGGGTCCATGTTTATCATGTCAACAACATGATGGAAGATTTACTGAATGATTGATTTACATCCAGTCTTCCTTCTTCAGTGTAAAATAATATGCATTATGACGATAGTAATAATAGTTTTTCCTCTGAGGTATTTGTTTGTAGGGCCAGCAGACATTAAGACACACTGGTAGCAGCGGATACATGAGCTCAATAACTGACCTGCTTTCGGTAACATCATTTCTCCTTGACAGTCTGGATCAAGTTAGGTGTGAGGGGCCACTAGTAAAGCACTAGAACTCCGTAATATATATATTAATATTAATATAATTAGAAGCTGATTCAGAGTCGCTGAATGTGAACTTATTTGTTCATGTAGAGCAAAGTGGGTTGTTTCCAGTGAGTTTAAAGGTTTGGACTCTGGATCAGCCCTCCATTGTCCCATCTGAAGCTGAATGGAAGAACAGAAATGGAGCTATAGAGCTGCTGCTAGGAGAACTGTTAAATGTTGTATTTGTACTCTCCACACTGGGAGGCCAGAGAGCCGACCGTCTGAATCCACTCTTATTCCCTGAAGCCTCGTCTTCGGTTGCACTCAAGTCAAGTTAAATTATTTCCTTCCTTTTTTACTTGTCCTGGACTTCTCCCAAACCATATCACTCAGCCTACTATTACTGAAGCCCATAGAGGTTAGCGAGTATTTCTTCATTGAAAGAAGAACAAAGAGCAGCACTGAAGACTTTTCTCCATGGAGAAGATGTTTTTGCCGCCTTTTTAGTTTAAAGAACGGTGTCAAAGGATGCTGATTGGTCCGGTACCACTTTACTGACCACAAACACAGACTGAAGCCTGGCAAGATGGATTCTGGCGCGATCTGGCGAGTCCAGCTGCATCGTAAGGTTAGTCTGTAGCTGGTGTCAATAAAGGACTACAGGCTGTTTGAGCTTGGAGCTTGACGGTAACAATATGGCTACTTATGTAAAATAAATAGTCAAACTGCAGGAATTCATTTGCTTGGCAACGTTCTATCCCTTTGATTAGCACCCAGTTTAGCTTCCTGCAGAGTTTAAAGACGAGCAGCTTAAAATGAAAACTGGATCCTCCAGAGGCTTCCTGTGATGAAAGTATAACAGGGAGAGAATATGTGCCACATTTATTTCTGGATGGAGGCTTCATGAACTAGTTTGGTCATTAGATGAGATTACCAGAAACAAGAATCAGCAAGAAGAAAATATGAACAAAAATATTCCTGTTTACAACAAATGTTGGGATACAGTATTTTCTTTTGTCTTTTTGTGTGCAATATATTATTTAAAAGCCATGTAGTCTTCTGTTTTGTTCCAGTGTACTGTATGACATTCTGTAAGGACCTGATATCCACACTCATGTATTAATCCTCAAACCAACTGAATCCTTCAGATGAGAAAGTGGGAGGTTGGACTGATGTGTGCTTCAGAATCTATAGTGTGTGTCCTTTCAGGGGATCTGTAACTTTTTACCTTCCCACTTTGATGAATTACCTGCGCTGTCCAGAGGGATCTCTGTGTGGACGTGCATTCTGTATTTGAACAAGCGTTTACAGTGTGTGGCTGTGTGCTATCTAAGAGTTGACCTATTGGTTTGTAAGTGTATTTAAAGCTGACAGTGGCTCCCAATGAACACCACTGGCTCCCTGTACTGCTCCTTTAATGTGGGTGGACTCGAGGCAGACTCAGGTCACAGATTTGACCACTTCATCAAAAAAGACTTGCAACTTAACTTGGACTTTAACACCAATGACTCGTGACTTCGCTTGGACTGGAGCCTTTTGACTGGAAAAGACTTGATACCTTCCCCCAGCCCCAAACATTAAAAAGTATGTTCCAGCAACTGGATGCTTCATTCCCTAGATCCACTGTGTTTGAACCAATCGGACAGGATCCAGTCCAGTTGATGGAAAGAACTAACGTTGCATTACTGAGCACCAGTTGGAAGAAATGTTACCAAGGAGCATTTAGTTTCACCCGTCCTGTGGTTAAAATAGCATTACATTTGGGAAGAGCGCATTATGGCTTGTTTAGGACTCAAAACTCGAAGTTTAGGACTTGTGACTTGCAAAACAATGACCTGGCCCCACCTCTGGGACAGACTAAAGAAAACTGTATTCCAAACACATGCTAACTGAGTAGTGCACTGAAGGTGACCAACTGTTTTAGCACAGATATCATCACGTAGCCCAGTTTTTTAGGTCTTGGAAATCATGTATACACTTGACATTCATACCAACAAATCAAGAAAAAAAAAAGAGGACAGGTTTTTCTTTCCACTGTTGGTATATTAAACAAAGTGTCCCCGTCCCTGCTCGCCCAGCGGCAGTCATTGGCTGGTGTGCCGACATGCAGACACACAGAAGGTAAAGAACATCACCCAGTGTGTGATGAATGACTGAATCTCCTCTTCCTCTTAACTTGTACATTTCACTGTAGCCTGTGGTGTGTATGTATGTGTGTGTGTTCCGTATCCATTGATGTGAATGATCTATCAATAAAGGGACAGTACTGCAACATGCTGGGTCTGACACATTATTCAGTATGACATGAAAAACGGCTTCAAATAGCAAATCCCAGCAGGGCTTTAGAATTGTTAGAAAATGTCAAATGTTCTGTTGTTTCATTGATTCATGACAGCACCAAACTGTGTCTTTGTTGATGAATAGTGGAAAAACCAGTGTACTATTTCATCACCAGAACTTGTGACTAGACAGACAAATATTCTTAAATATTCTATATTTTTCTTGTATTGAGCAGAATAATATGCCAATTTTGCCACTGAAAGACTGTAATGGACCTTAAAACTGGAAGAAAGGTAAGCAAGTTGTGCTTATTAAAAGCAATGAAAACTATTGTTTATGTTATTTAAGATTTTAAATGGGTTAGGGGTTAGGGTTATTTAATAAGTTAGGTAATTTAAGACTGTTTAAGATCAATCATTAGCAAAAAAAAGCTAGTAATAGGACACAATTCCTTTAAACAGCATAATAAAAGTGACTTTGTCTCAAATGAAGGCACCAGAAGCATTTTTAATTAAAACAATGGAAAACTCAGCTGCTTCATTTACTTTCTCTTAAACTGAGTTTAAGTTGTGCAAGTGGTCTTCCTCTTAAAATAAGGACAATAATCTTCTATCCGGGATATTATGCAAACCATAGTTGGAACTGGTTATATCTAGCTCAGTATTAGCTGTAATATCTCATTAAGACACAGTTAGATAGATTTTCTTAAAACCAGATTGATGCAAAACATGCTGGACAAGATTATTTCTTTTTAGACAAAAAATAAGACTTTTTCCCCTAAAAAATAATTAGTTAGAACATTAGTTTTGTTGACACCTCCCTACTGATTAGAAATCCAACACTCCAATCACATCCCTGGATTCATTTTTGTAATGGTGGAGGAAACTAGTTTGGAAGATGGAAACACTTCCATTCAACAGCTGGAAATATTCCATTACTTTGATTTTAACAAACAGAACTGGATTTGTTTTGGTGAATTTTGGGGAGAAAGGACACAGTTAACAATTCTGTTGGGAAAAGCAGAAAAGTAATATAACTAGTAGTGTAACTAATAACTGTTGACAGGGAGTAATAAAGTCATAATATTACTTTTGAAAAGAGTAATACTGAGTACTTTGAGTTTTGATACTTAAAGTGCATTTAGCTAAAAATACTTGGTAGTATTTGAAGTAAGGTTTTGAATGCAGGACTTTTACTTGTAGTGGAGTATTTTCGCAGTATGGTATAGTACTTTTACTGGAGTAGGATCTGAATACTTACATGCCACTGAAAAGGCATGTGAGAGCATTGCAACAGTGTTACCATTACATACTCTGTCCACCGGAGAGCGCTGACAAGATGACTCAGCACATATCTGCTCACAATACAAAGGTACCCTTTAAGAACCGTTAGTTATGTAGAACTAAAATCTGCCAATATATTATATATTTTACCCTCTAATGTTGATATTAGAGATTGATATCAGTGTCAGTTGGATTCTAGTCTAATTTATAACAACACATTATTTGTATCTCCATTACACTTCATACAGTCACGTACAGTACACTTTAGCATAGATTTACACTTTATAGGTTACAAAACAAACCTATCGCTGAGAATTATTCCCTTCTTTTATTGCTCACATCTTTTACAGAACAATCTTCACACAAGTTGATACTTCATTCAAGTGCCATGTACTGAGAACAGGACATGACTGTACAGAGCTTCACTTTTCAGACACTGGTCCTGTCCCTGCTGCTGGGACTCTGCAGGAAGTGTTACATAATATTTGTACTTCTTGCCTCTCTCTACTGACTGCCATAACACCATTCATGAGACTATTTTTGTATGTACTGTTCTAGAACATCTGACAGCACGCAGGAAGTGATGTGTATTATGGCTCCAGTTTGTTTGGATAGAGATAGTTAACACTGCTGAACAAAGACGAGTAAAACCTGCAAAGACTTCAACATAAAATCCAAAGAAAAAGACGTGATCTGACTGACTAATGAGCTCTGGAAAGGAGAGCAGCCCTTGGATCAGTTTGTTATAAAGTTGACACGATACCATCATTTTAATCTTCGATACAATACTAGTATAGAAAAACGACACCTTTTAAAAAGAAAGGTGACAGGTGAGTTTGTAAGTACATTATTATTAAGGTTGAGGACAAGTTGATTTTCTTCCCTCTGCTTCATTTGTGCAGGCTTGGGTTGAAAATCTGATGTAGATCTGTTCTTTTGCTAAAGAATAATAGTATTGATGCTTCTGACAACCTGTTTGTTACATTAAAGCTGCGGTAGGTAACCTTTATAAAAATAACTTTCTGTCATATTCACTGAAACTTTCCCTATATCCTGACAGTAGAACATGAGACAGATAATCTGTGAAACAATCAGGTTCCTCTGGCTCCTCCTAGTGATCCTGATGGGATTTGCAAGAATCCACTGGGTCTGAACAAAAACAACCAATCAGAGCCGAGAAAGATAAGAAAGATGCTTCGGGTTTGAGGCTTAAAGATGTTGATTATTGAGTTTCATTCCTAGCATTGGTTTTTGACAACCTAGGAATAAGGCTCAACAAGCAACAAACTTTCTCAGCTTTGACTGTCAGGATATAGTGAAAGTTTCAGAAAATATGACAGAAAGTTATTTTATAAAAGTTACCTACTGCAGCTTTAACTGTGGCATGTAGTCTTCTGTATTTGTGCGTCTGACACATGGTGGTTGTGGTTCAGTAAAAGCAGATTCAGAATCAGCTGATATTGACGTGCAGTACCTGGAATGATAGATCCAAGCAAACAGATTTCCAGTTGAGTTTTGTTTTCATGATCAAAATCATGATTGGTCTTAATTACATGTGGATGATGCATTAGTCTGCTAAGTGTATGTTGGGAAGGACCATGGCTCACCGTTTACCACGAGGTAATGCTGAGAGCACGAGCCAGAAACTCATTTAAAAGAACTTCACTGATCACTTTTCAAACCATTACTTTAACATTCAAAGCCATGACAGCCCTCATTCAAACCCTGACCCAAAATACCCAGAAATCCCTCCTCTTGTTTGTCAGTGGCTCTTCGCTCTCCTTCCATGCGTTATCAAAGACACCATGACACCAGTTCTGTCTGCATTATATTGGTCTCTCTCTCTCAGGAGAGGAAAAGCTGCTGACATAGCTGTCGCGTTTCCTCTGGACAGGAGACTTCATGGCCGATGGTCCGAGGGTCACAGTAGATCTCGTAGTCGTTTCCTCCCTGCAACCACACACACACACACACACACACACACACACACACACACACACACTTAGCTTAGCTGCTTTGTTTCTCCCTTGGTACATATATGAGCCTCTGTTTTTTGTCCTAAAGCAACCAAAGTGAGCCGGTGCTTTCTACATTCTGGGATTGGGATGATTGTTCACACCCCATCACAGCTAGAAAGGTGCTGCTCGCAGTCATTTAGTGTAGTTTTCCACAACATTTTGCAGGTTTTGCAGGTTGGTTTCTCTTGGTTGGTTGAAAACAGCTGAACTGTATTGGAGATGAAGGTCATGCTGTCTAAAACCTCTCCAGACTGTCCTCTCTGCAGATTCCTCATATTACACACTACACTGAAGATATCCATTGTGAAAGAAAAAAATGTGATCGAATTGTGACTGAGCCAATTCTCTTTCCTTTACTGTTAAGAGTCACTTGGTAGAAAGAGTTCGTCCTGGAGGCCCCACTCAGCCTTTGACTTGCTGTAAACTGACACCAGGTAGACACATGAAGCCAGCTCAGCTCTACATCTTTTCCAAACCCATAGGAAGAGAGTTTTCCTCAAAAAAATCTTTCTTCAGTAAGGATATGATGCATATCTGGATATAGTTAGCATACACTTGGCCCAATCATTTAATTATACCTTTATATATATAGTCTACCTCCATGTCTATATGAGGATCTCCACTGATTGCCATCCAGCACAGAGCATGATATCACTCTCATTTTCAGTACGACTATAGATAAAGTTCCTTTTAACCTGCTCTTTAATCCGTCCAACAACATATAGTAAGATAGCTTCTCGCAGCGCTGCCCCTGATGATATAAACTGACGATATATTCTATGTGTGCTTCGACCACAGTAAAGAGAAAAAAACCTACCGAAAGAGTCCCTCATTATGAATATCTTATAATCTGGATCGATGACTTCACTTTTAAAGTTCATGTTGATAATTTGGTTTAAAAGCTGCAAACAAAAGATGGTTTTATTTATAGAAATACATGACTCTGTATTACTCTCAGTCTTGGATTACGGTGATGTAATATAGAGACATGCTGCTATTGCCACCCTCAGGCCCTCGGATGCTATATATCACTCTGCTCTTTATTTATTACTGGTGACTCCTTCAGTACCTATCATTGTATTCTCTATGGAAAGGTTGGCTGACCCTCTCTCTCTCTCTTTGAGAAGAGATCAACACTGGTTTATGTTTATCTATAAAGCACTCCTAAACAAATGACCACCTTACATCACTTCACTATTAGACCTCAAGGTAGGAGCCTATCAAACCCGCTCTCAGGACTGGATTACCTTTCAGGTTCCTGCTTTTAGACGTTCAGCTCTGGACTCTTGGAATAACCTAAAATGCACTTTAAATATTGATTCCCTGATAACATTGGTAAATGATAGAAATATGCTTATTCATTTTAATTATTTTGCCACATTTGTTAAAACATATTCCTAATTAACAATTTAATTAGGAATATGTTTAACTAATGCTGATGCTCGTGTCTTCTTTTTTGATTAGTTTTCCATTTTTGCTTATACATGTTTTATCTCGGTTCACCCCTCAATGTAGGCCCAAGAAGTACATAAAGGTTAAATGAATGAAAAAAGCCAGCAATCTTGCATATTCTGTGTATGTAAATGTGATCAGTCTACTCACAGCAATCTACTCTGGCTGAAAAGAGAAATGTTTTTGAATGGGATGGTAGTCAGCTAGTGGGATCTCTTGTTAGGTCTTGACCATCCACCACCAGGTGTGATTGCTTTCACAACAGCACAGCATGCAGACAACTGGCTTATATGAACCTGGGTGTTAACTCACAAAGCTGAAGATACATACATACATACATAAATACTACAAAGGTAGCATCTGATGGCTCTCCTAAATCCAATTGTGTGTTTGAGCAGTTTTAAAACATCAGCAATGAACTTGGAGGAAATGTTTGGGTTTCAGGCTCCTACACTGTACATAAAGTACGCAGTGCTGCCAAAACTCGAACGCAGAAAAAGGAACTACTGTTAATATAGGCTGCTACAACCTCAATGTAAACAGGCTCAATACATGAAAATGAAACCATGAAACCAGTCTGAGCTTGAAAAGCAAGAACAGCACTTTGGTGGTTACCCTTGTGTTTTTAAGGTGATGCTGAAAACTTGGAAAACAGTATTCAGGAATAATTACAGATGTATCAATATTATTTGCTACAAATTAAATGTAAATCACCACCGATAATGGCTAGGATAATACCTTCATTCTACAATAAAAGCTCTGTTTACATTGAATTAGAACCATCCTATAAACTAATGTATTAAAGTTCTGATATGTAACATTTCTTCATTAAACAGTCTATAAACTCTAGCTCTATGTTCTGTATGTAGTTGAGTTTTGTCCTTACATTATCCCAAATGTTTCCATTTGTGCCTGTCAATGGCGTTATATCCCCTTTGTGCCTGTGTCAGCGTTGTGGTTGTCTGCCAGAAGCTGTCATACATTGACTGTTTATCCAGTCTGAAGCCACATTGTTACCATCCACTGTTTAGATCTTGGTGCTTTTTAACTCTAGATTTGAACCGGATGAAGGATTTTAGTCATTGGACGTCTGGATCTTAAGTTATCAGAGAAACAAGCTGAGCTAACGTTAGCAGCAGCTCAGCTCGCAGCCCCTCCAGGACGTCCCTTGTCTGTCCAACAGCGTGGGAGAAGCAGTGATTTTTAAGGTGGAACTGCTTTATTCAGTGTGTTTAGTGGTTTTAATCAGCGGGTCTGTTTGTTTTGGAGAGGAGGAGACCTCTGTGGAAAGCTGGGCTCCCGGTAGAAACCTCCTGAACCATGAACACTGAAGGAATCCTAACTGGGAGAAGCTGACTGCAATGGTGGTGAAGACAACAACTCCCAGGATCCCACACTGCTTCACAACAAACAAATGTCTTTTGTTATTGTTTTGATGTGAGAGACTCGCTAGCTGCAGAAATTACATACTGTACATACATATAAGCCCAAAATTGCTTATTATAAGCAGAATTGACAACTTTCAAAGTATGATAACAAAACAGCTCAATATTCCACGTGAGCAATTAACATGCGTGATTGGATCACAACAGCTCTACGTCAGTTCACACCGTGCATTGAAAGGCATCTCCACGAGTAGCCACTTGTGATCGGATCTCCCGTCCTTGCTCTAAATGCAAATAAACACTTACATCGTTTCAGTCTGCAAAGACATGCACATGTACAGCCATCAGCCATCATTGTGCCGTCCTATAGCAGTTAGCATACTCACAGGCTTGGTCTTGTCTCCAAAGAAGTGAATGGTTGAGTAGTTGTCTTTCTCAACGATCCCCAGACAGAATCTCTTATCCCAACCATCAGGAAACACATCAAAGCTGATCTGGCCTCCTGCAGAGAAACAAAGCCCAAGAGGCAGGAGGCGATGATGTGGACAATTTACATCACACAGACTAAAAACAGCCAACAGCAACCTGATATCTCATCCTGTCCCAGGCTGTTATAGTATTTTATTTTATGGTTTGAGGCTGCTACTGATGCTGTTCCCTGCAGATTTAAATGGAACTGTGTTACTTTCATAAACAGATTCACTGTAAATACAAGCTGTATCATTGTCACAAATGCAGCTGACTCACCGATTGAAAATGTCAGCCCTCTTCCTTTGAACTCTTCCTTCAATATGGACACAAACTTCTCTCGGATTTTCTCTTTCTGTAGGGAGGAAACCAAAAACTCTAGGTGGCAGTATAATAAGCACAGCCTTTATATACATTCTATCACAATCTTGCTATCCAGTAAGTGAAATGTACACACTGCAAAAATACGCAAAGTTAAGGCTGCATTAATCTATGTTTTGGCCGCTGGGGGGCAGCAGAACGAGCTGAAAACAGCATATATATATTTCACATTAAAAACATGTTAACAAACAGTTACCTTGTTACATATACAGCCGACACAGAGGAACTGAATTTCTTTAGAACTTCTGGCCATCTGACAAATGTAAGTTCAACATTCGCTCTCCTTTTAGCTTTGTTTTGGTCTCCATCAACTCCTGGGGAAAACATCTAGCTCTTTAGCTGCTAAATGCTCCACTATGTTCAGCAGCTACCCTCTAAAAGCATGGGCATATTTAAACAAAATATGGTCTGGCTATGTAAGACTATGGATGTGCAGGTCTGTGTCTGTTTGACCTTGGGCGGGGCTGAACCACAACACAGCACAGAAGACAGTGCTGTTCGGCTGCATTCACTTAAAATCTGGCAACACGCACCTTCTGCAGGGTTGTGTGGAGGTGTGGCTGTGTTTCTATGTGCTTTTAAGAAGAAGAAGAAGAATTAGAAAATGACATTTCTCTGATTCACTGCTTTGTTCTCTGCACTCTCTCTCCACTCACTTGACCCTAATGGACCCTCGCAGACACGCGTACACAGAAAGAATCAATAAGCCTTAACTGTGTCTGTCTGTTTGGTTCTGAGCAGTTAGCGGATTATCAGAGATTTTGCAGCTGGAAAGGAGTTGAGAGTGGTGAGAATGAAAGTGTGTGCGCTACCTGATCTAGTTCGTAGAACTCTTTCCTCTCTTCCTGCGTACAGCTGCGACCAATAGGGGACACGTTCAACATGCCGTTACGGAATTCAATGAATGTCCCCCTGTAAAACATTACAGTCTCCTTAAGGCTAATACACATCACTACTATCTGTTATTATTCTACATTTTCAAATGTTATGCATTTTACAGCTTCCTTGCACTGCTCCAGGCCCATTACATCACAACTGCTAGCCCAAAAACAAACAAATGCTGATAATGAGACTCTATTGTGTCTGTACCTTTTCTTAGGCAGTTTGATCTTGGCCATGTAGTTGAGACAGAAGTTGATGAAATCTTGTAGTAGCTCTTCTCCCATGTGGGCCTGGATGGACTGACAACAGCAAGCAGACAAAGTCAACTTCCTGGGGCCTGTCACATGACGTGACGGCTTCATATTCAAGGTAGGTTTGTTTTGGTTTTTCCCACAAACCAATATTATGATGGCAAATCATGTTAATGTGTCAAACGAAGACTTTGATCCTTTGATCCTTACCTGGACAGAGAGCAGCTGTCCATTCTTATAGGCTACAAGACCGTTCTCAGCAAACACATAGTCCACTTTCTGGATCACTGCACACATAAATGAACAGAGTCAGACTAATGACACACTTGAGATATAATTGGTCTACTACTGATCTGTGTGTCTCACCATCATCTCCCAGCTGCTCTTTGATCTTGCAGAGGTCTGACCCTCCTACCACCCCGACTCGAACCTGAGTCCTCAGCTTCTCGAGGAACTCTGCCATGTCTGGAGTCACGCGCTGAAAACAAACACAGAAATACAGGTTACATTTACTGACGTAATGGGAGAAACAACAGCAAGGACAGCAACAGGACATACAGTATTTCATATGTCAGGATTCATGTCAAATGTTGCAGGATGCATACCAACTGGAAAAGCCTGTCCTTTAGTCTTTTTTTTTACTAAGATTGTCTGTCTTTAGTCGAAGTATCACTTGTTTTACTGGTCTTTCAGGTATTTTGTTATGCAGCGATCCAACATTAGGTTACCCGTTTTGTCTGCACACCGACTAACCCCGCTGCTGATGCAATGTCCTCTTCTCAGTCAAACTATAAAACTAATAGTAGGAAACTATAAAAGTACGATAAACATGCCCAAAGTGATCATTGGGTCTATATCTTAATGAATAAGCAAATACTGTATGCCTAGAAACTATATAATACGTTACAGTACAATGTTAGTAATAACACACATATTCTATAATATACAGATAATGCAGCTGCTGTTTTAATAGTTATCAATAATTAGTACATTTTAATCTGTGTAAACCACAGTTTTTATAACTCATAGTTTTTAATTCGTTTTTTATTTTTATATTTCGTTTTTCATTGTTGTTTTCAGTGAGTTTGCTCGTTTTGTATCATTACCTGACAAAAACTAAAACTAAAGACATTTCCTGGATATTTTTAGTTTAGTTTAGTTTTTATTTACATATCAGGCAAAACAAAACTTAAAGAGACATTTGTTTTGCTGGTTGTAGTTAATTGTTCGCAAAATGCCAACGGAACCAAACGGAAACAGTAGCAGCAGGCGTTTGTTTTAATGACCAAGAAAGGAGTGTTTTGAACGTTTAAAGGGTAACAGGGCCTGTATTTACCATAGGTTTACAGGGCCTGTATTTACCATAGGTTTACAGAGTGTATAGTACATTTGAATATTGATGGTAAACAAGCCCAAAACGTGTTAGCAACTAACGTTAGCATACTTTAACCGTTCAGCAGGGCAGTGTAACCACAGTAACGTTAATTTGTTTATGTAGCTAACACTATTATTTGTTTAGACCAGTGAGTGCTCTGTAGCTGCTAGCAGTCCCACTACGTATCTGCAATTGTTTTAGAGTGGAACCATTTTTCAAAGCAAAAGTTTCCGCGGGATACAATACCGCGCGGAAGAACTACAACAACGACGTGGAGCCGGATGTTGCACTGTCATAACGTACTGTGTTTGTATGAATGGAGTCAGGTGGAAACGGTCGTAACGTTAGGTTCACACACCTGTCTCGCGGCCGTGAGCGTGCCGTCAACGTCGAAGAGGCAGAGCGTGCTCGTGTCCACAGCGGCGTCACTCATCTTGCCTGTCAGTCTGATCCCAGATCAGCTCGGACTGTACTCCCAATATCCAGTGACAGTGTGTATGCTCAGTGTTGGGCGCTCTGCTCCCACTGTCCTTCCGTCGTTCTCTCCACTGTATGATCCAGCTGCAGAGCTGCTGAGGTTGTGGACGACAACTACAACCAGAGAAACCAGCTTCTTCTTCTTTAGCGTTTACTTACGGAGGAAAAAGTAAGGTGCATGCCGCCACCTGCTGTACCGGAGGATGTTGAGCAAACCTGAATATAAGGCCTCTTCCTGACATCTCAGCCTGCAGGCCGGGGTTAGTTAAGGATACAGTGAATTTTGGGTGCAACATACAAAGGTCCCGTGTTAAAAACAGAAAAACAATGCAGCGATAGTGCCCTCCTGGATGCCTCTAATGTAGACAAAACATGATAAATGCCCCTCTATGCTAACCCAATCTGCAAAAACTCCTCTAGGGCAGCGGTTCTCAACCTGGGCTCCAAGGACCCCCAAGAGTCCTTGAGGGGGTTCCAGGGTGTTCCCCAGAAAATAGAGAATATTTTAATTTCACTATTAGCCCTATTTACTAAAGGTTAATGAGAGAATGTATCAATATGACTATTGCCTACAGGTTTCACACTCTTAATATGCACATTTACTGTATAGACAGTTATGGAATAACTCAATCTTTACCACGGGGGGAGCTTGAGCCTGAAATCTGATCTGGCCAAGCCAAGTGCCACCCCATTATCTTTACCTCTGCCACTCCACACTGTCTTTCAGAGTCTGTAGTGGGCCTCCTTTGGAAGCTGAAGATAGATACTGGTATCATATGAAACGTATGCATCCATTGGTACCAACTATGTCATGCTGGCAAAATAATGCTCCAAAGTTAGGCTAAATTTTGGCAATGGAAAAACTGGCATGGTCATTTTCAAAGGGATCCCTTGACCTCTGACCTCAAGATATCTGAATGAAAATGGCTTCTATGGGTACCCATGAGTCTCCTCCTTTGCAGACAGGCTAACTTCATGCTAATCCCATGCAGCTTTGGGCAAAAAAAAAAACATGCAGTTTTCTCAGCACACAGTTTGGTGTTATTTTTCCCTCATGTACTTGAAGAGTTCTGCATTCTGTGGTCACTAAACAGTGAATTTCAGAAATTGGGAATGACTAGAAAGCTTCCACTCTTGCGGTGCCCCATTTGCACCACCCAGTCAAAAAGGTCTGGACACGGCCCCGATGCGTATCAGTTTTGGGCTCCTTGACAACAAAAAGGTTGAGAAGTCTTTCTCCAGGGTGCCTTTGATGCTGGAAAATAACGTGGGCCTCTATGAGCCTCTAGTGGTTAAACAGATGATAGTTCCTTGAGGGTTTTATGACAGAGGTGTGTTTGTACTTAAAATTTGAGTCACATGATAAAACAACTTTAATCTTAACCAGGGTTTGGAGCCGTTTCACCATAAATGCACCACTAGTTTCTGTGGTGGGTGCCCTTTGTATTGTTTTCACCCACGCACAGAAACATAAGATTGCTGTGCAAAGGCAGTGTTGGCATGCTTTAAGGCACTTAGAAACTGAATATAATTATAAATGTCACAACATAAGGGTCAGAGTCAGAAGGCCACACTGGATATACCTCCTTGGTTGACATCTCATCTCACTGACCTCAACTTAAAGCTACAAGGAAAGAACAACTCAGCAAGTGATTTGATGTTTCTAGAGGAAAGTATGTTTTTAAGGTGCATCTCCAAGTACACACTGTCCAGCTGTGAAACAACAAATATGGTTGGAGGTTTTCTCTCATGTGGAGCTCATACAGACCCTGTAGAAATAGGATTAAAAGTGTGGCATTAAGACTTTTACAGTACATTTCAAGAACTAAATAAAGTTCAAGAATGTTTTTTGCGCATTTGTACTGATTCAGCTCATCACAAGGTTTAGGATGCCAGAGAAATGTTGGGGGCAAATTATGATACAGAAGGCAAGACGTGCTTTTTCATCCATAAGTAATTGTTGAGCTGAACATTTACTTCACTTTAGTTTGAGAAGATGTGTACTGGTTAAAGAAACTTGGATTAGACCTGAAGAAGGTTTTGTTGTTTTAACAGAAAAATAAAACATAATAACATCCAATTGACCTAGTACAATCAGCACAATGTTTTTGCATTCGTCTAGGCAAAGCTGCATTATATTTCTGTGACCAATACCACAAAATTCCTTTCTGACTTCCATTTGGACATGTTGGTTGCATTGATCAGACCAGTGCACTTAGTCTATCTATTTTCAATTGTATTTATTTTAATTGAAATTGACATTGTTCTGCATTTGCCTGTTGAAAAGTTATTTTCAAAAATGTTAAAATGTCATTTTACTGAAAATGTTTGCATTCATATTAATGTGTTTGCTGTCTGTGGTGTATTTTTTAGTAATTTTCTAAAATCTGCAAGCACCACTGCAGTGATTATAGAGAATATTATATATCGCCATGTTATCAAAATAAGCCCATTAGGTGTAATGCTTAGAGACATTCTCATACATTCTCTAAAATTTAGAAAATTAAGAGTCTAAATCACATACAGTGGTACACTTTAACATGATGCATTGACATGACTAGGCTTCTTTTACTGCTGATCCAGCAGTGTGTGGTGCTGCAATCACAGTGACTTCTCACAATTTAGATGCAAGTATGTACAATTATAAACTGATAATGTATTTTGAAGGGAAAAGCTAAATCCAGAAGTCTTTTTCTTATTTTCTGCTCAGTTTAGTATTCATGTTCCATTTAAAAATAAATGAGCAGTTTTATTTTTGACTTGACCTAATAAGGGGAGTTTGAATTGTCTCTTTCTAATGCACAAAACGAAACAGAAAGCGTCCTATATGCCCAGTCACATCTAGAAAACAAACGGTTTAAGCGTACACACAGCCTAGACACACCACACATCAACAGATGAACATATTTTGATTCAGGACAAACAAAGGACCTTTCGCGCCGTATGTTTAAAAGCCCAGCTCAACCAATCAGCGCGTTGGCAATGCATAGAAACATGCTGTCTTGATGGCACATACTCCGACCAATCACAGCACCGGATCTTTCTTGTGCCCTAAATTCAAATTGAAATGCTTAAATCTGACCAATCCGTGGATGGTGGGGAGGAGTTGTGAAAGTCCTTCTAGTTAAGTTAGATCGGCCTCGCAGGCAGTGACAAAACAGTTGCGCTTTCTTCCTCATTCAGTCGTTTACAAGTTGTCTTGCTGAGAACAGGTAAGGTTTCACCGTTTTTGCAATTGTATTCAGCTAATTTTACTGTTTAAAGTCACCAGTATTTTCTTTGGTAGCTTGGTGCATTGATTAGGGTGATAAAATGTAATAGTTGTGCATATTTACCAATTTAAGCATATTAGTAAAATAAATCGTTTATATGTTCGTATAAATCACAACGTTGTTTATCATGTGCCTCGAGAAAGCCGTCGGATTATATGCCGATTCCAAACGGTGGCGTGTTTAGCCTGTTTCTATAACCTTACTGTGTCACTAGCCGTGTAATCTATTGCTGTGTGCGCAACATGCAGTTCAAACGCCATTTGGTTTGGTGAGTTAGCTTAGCCTTCCACACGACGGGGACGTTAGCTTCCACGGTTTAAGTTCGAACCAAGCCGCCATTTGGCCCACACTCACCGCAGTTAGTTGCGTTAAGGTTAAAGGCAGATCAGCAGTCAGTATGGAAATAACACAATAGATATTAGTGTACTTATTTCGGTAAGCTTTTGGCGCAGTTTAGTTTAGGCGGGAAGATACAAAATGGTGGCAAGTCTTTTTGTCCCAGTGAAGCAGAAATCCGATTAGAGCCTTAAAACACCCTTGGGCGTCTGCTCGTCCGGTTTATGCAACAATAACATTATTTACAACACTAGAACTATGGCAAATACAAATACAATATTTGCCAGAGTCCATATTCGTTACGTTGAACTAATAATTTAAACATATTTACGTTATTGTACGCGTTTTAGATAATCCATGGTAAATTTGCAAATATTACATTATACTGCCTATACTTGGTAACTAATAAAAAAAATATATATATACTCGTGTTTCATGTGATTTTTATTTTTTTCTTTGCCACCGTTTTTAGATCAAACGCAGTCATGAGAAAGGATCCAAATAAGCCGAGAGGAAAGATGACCTCCTATGCTTACTTTGTGGCGACCTGCCGCGAAGAGCACAAAAAGAAACACCCAGGGACCACTGTAGGCTTCTCAGAGTTTTCCAAGAAATGCTCTGAGAGATGGAAGGTAAGTTGGAAGCAATTTAGCTTTATAAATGCAATAATTAACAAATTACAACATGAATTGTAATTTGGGATGGGTCATTGTATTATCCACATTATCAATTTAAAACAATCAAATTATACTTATAGTTAGCAGAAGTATGAGAATTTGATTTGGGTCAGGCAACAATGCCCTTGCATGACCTTGCAGGACCTTTTGCCCTCTCCATATTTGGGTAGAAAGGGGTAATGGTGGAAAATTAGCACAAGGCAAATGCTGATTAAGTGGCAGGTAGGTTTAAGCCACAAAATGACAATTGAGTGGCTGGTTGAAATGTATAAATTTCCCCCCTGGAAAGGGTACAAAGTATTTTGTTAACATATGGGACACAGCAAATGGATAGGTATCCCTACATAAGGATGTTTGTAGGGATATTTTGGTATTTAGGTGTTTTATGGTTTCTGTTGCATAGACCATGTCAGCCAAGGAGAAGGTGAAGTTCGAGGACATGGCCAAGAACGACAAGGTCCGGTATGACCAGGAGATGAAATCATACGTGCCTCCCAAAGGTACCAAGGTCGTAGGCAAGAAGAAGAAGGACCCCAATGCACCCAAGAGGCCACCGTAAGTCTAAACTAATGAGGCCAGATTTTTATGCTTGTTACCTCTGGTCCTTTCTGACACTAACCCGTCCCCCTTTTCTTTCTCCAGTTCTGCTTTCTTTGTGTTCTGCTCTGACCACCGTCCCAGGATCAAGGAGGAGAACCCTGGAATCTCCATTGGTGACATTGCCAAGAAGCTTGGCGAGTTTTGGGCTACACAGACACCCAAAGACAAGGCTCCCTATGTGGCCAAGGCCGCCAAACTGAAGGAAAAATATGAGAAGGTATCTACCTGTAGCCTGTTTTTGCCAGCTAAAGTGACTTGGCTCTTAGATATTTTAAGTATGTGACAGTATTAGGTGGTATGATTACATATACTTTCCCTTTTTTCCTCATTAGGATGTTGCTGCCTACCGAGCAAAGAGTGGCTCAGGGAAGAGTGATGCTGGTAAGAAGAGTGGTCCAGGCAGGCCCACTGCCAAGAAAGCAGAACCAGTTGACGATGACGACGATGATGATGATGACGACGAGGAAGACGAGGATGACGATGATGATGACGATGAGGATGACGACTAAGCAGTTTGTGTTTAAAGGATGTGAATTTTGCAATGCATTGTTCAGCTTAACTCCTGTTTGTTTTTTGTTTTTTGTGTGGATGATTCCCTCAGCGTAGCCTGCTGTCCCTGTGGATGATTCCAAGAGTATAGCCTGCTGTCCCTGTTGGTCTGCCTCTGTAGGATATCAGACGTGTTCCTTTTTTCAAATTCAGGGATTTAGTTTTTATTTTGTCACTAGTCCCCCCCCATATGATTTTTTTTTTTAAGTTTTTCTGCTGAACTCGGGTTTCTTACATCTTGGATCCTTGTTGCTATCTACACGGGCAGCCACATATGAATTTCCTGTGATATTACAAAGAACTGAAAACTCCTGTACGGGCAGTGGACAGCAGCAAATCAGTAAAGTTTTAAAAATGTATCGTTTCTGGAAGCACTGCTTAGGTTTTCTGTTTAGTGGTGCTGTTTCTTCACTGTCATTTTACTACCAGGGGTTATCTGTAGTTTGATTAAAGAGGTTTGCAGCCATTTTTAATGTGGAACTTTGAAAACTTTCATGTAGAACGAATTTTCTTTTTGTAATAAAATTTTGTATATTGATTATAATTGTGTTTTTTTTTTTTTTTTTTATCATTGATATTTAGTCGTATGCTAAAGGATAAATGCACTTAAACCCTCTTTACCTAATTATACAAGATGCTAATATGCACTCAAATGTATGCGATTTGGTGGGTTTACAGCCAGTGTTCAGCCTTTAGTCTGATTTTGATAAACATGCAAACATCTTCTGGCCCAAAATGTAGTGAACTGATGAGCTGCTGACAATGTTCTGACTTGCAGCTGTCCTGTAGTACTGATATTGGTGCATGTTGGTCAGTATGTAGAATGCAACATAGAGCTGACAGATACATGGGTCTAGAGCTGTGTCAATAAATTGTCCCCTATTTTAATCTGAGTTTGTCAATGTTCAGATTCCAGCTTGTCAAATGTGAAAATGTTCTGCTTTTGGTCCTCTGACAGTAAACTATAAGACATTTGAGGATGTCACCTTGGGTTTTGGTCTTCACCGTTCTCCTGACCAAACAATCTCTTCATTGAGAAAATGCTAGAGATGAAACCATAATGAAAATAATAGTTTGTTTGCTGCGCTGTGTGTGATAAAGACCACAGCCTCCATAATTCTCTGAATCCCTACACTGCACACCGACTGAAGTTTGTCTCAGTAAATGAATGTGGCACAGTTGCTCATTACCAGAACTGCTGTCAGATGTCACTATATTGTGACCCAGCTTGGCTAGATGGCAGCAGAGCCTTCAGTGGTTGGATATAGCTGATCTTGATGAGGACTCGGGTCATTTGGATTAGATAGTGTATGCCGTCGTGTGTTATATGCAGTCTGTTGTGGGATGAGTGTTCTCTAATGACTCAGACTGCAGGCCAGAGAAAGGGCCACCTTTATGTGTAGTCTAAATCAGATTCAGGTCTGAACTTTTTCAATGTGACCATAGTATGAACAATCAGCAGGATTTACTTTGTGTTGCTCTAAAGTGTCATGCGGGTCACTTCAGGGCTGAGACCACACTGGAATCTGCTATGGGCCACATGTCTTGTTTCTTTGCCCTTTTAACATCTAAAACATTATTCGTCTAACAGATAAGTATGCTGTCATTGTGGAATCGGGTGTAACTAAGTACATTTACTCAAGTACTGTAGTAAAGCCCAGTTTTGAGGTACTTTACTGGCATTTGTCTGCTACTGTATATTTCTGCTACATAATGTCGACTATTTACTGCACTACATTTATTGCTGTAGTAGCTGACTACTGAGGATGTTGAGAATCTTATTTTTAATACAAGGGTTTGGAATAGTTAATACAAAACAAGCTTTTACAATATCATTAATTCTTCAATGAAAAACATCTTCCTTTTACCAACTATTCATTTTATTATAAAAGTGAAAGTGTAGTGTGAATAATAATATGGAGTGTGGTGTGAATATTTCAATGCAAATAAAATGTTTTCCCGCAATTAGTAGATACAGACACACTTTTCCAGAACAGTTATTCAAATAGTTTGAAATATTGAAACTGCACTGCACAATAGGGTGGCTGAGGCTCAGGAGGTAGAGCAGGTTGTCCACTAATCAGAAGGTTGGTGGTTCAATCCCTGCCTCTTCTGGCTGCATGTCAGTGTCCTTGAGTAAGATACTGAACCCCAGATTGCTCCTGATGCTGTACATCAGTGTGAACCAGTTAGTTTTCTGTTTGTGATGACCTTTGCCATCACTGTATAAATGTCAAGTAGTATGTAAGTACAGTCCATTTACAATAAGTCTGAAATAACCAGACAGAGCTGCCAGCATAAGACTGTGGCTCTTCAAGCCCAACACATTTTACTATAGTGACACACATGCACATGCGTATGACACCGTACACCAGTGGTTTTCAATGTTTTTAAGGCCAAGACCCCCATAGCTGATAGATAGATGGAGCAGGGACCCATATTCATTATGTTGCATATTGAACTGGGCCTACAACAATGTGTACAATATTATTTGTGCTTTATCTACTAGTATGGTGGATTCATGTTAATGTATATTTTTCACATACACAAAAACACTCAAATAATGATCAAACAATAATTTGGCATCCCCCATGCAGTAAATCTGAGATTGCGGACCTCCTGTTGAAGACCCAGGCCATACACAGTCCTATTGTGTCACACTATTACACTGATGAAAAGGTGGCAGTAACACACCAAGACACGCAGCAATGCGCCACCAAAGGCAGGGACGAAGAGGACTACACGCACGTACACATGGAGGTAAACAATGCTGGATTTGAAATCTCTAGAAATTGGCTTTGCAATTTTTTTCAGACTGGAGTGCTTTATGAAGTGGACACATTTGTCAGACCTCAATGATACACACACTGTGCACTCAGTGTAAATAGAACTTGTTTTTTTACAGAAAAACTCCACAGGGCCCCTCATCCTGCCGACTGGGGTACCCACAGGCCCCTGAGGGATATATTTTCATCCTATCATATCATATCATATCATATCTCTCAGGTGCTTTATTATAGCATTCCAATTCTTCATGACTTTGTTAGTCAGTGTGTTCTTGATGTCTTCATAGCATTTTTCCATTCTGTTTTAATTGCTTTTTAAAAATATTATTGTCAGGGGTGGATCTAGAGGGGTGGCATTGGGTGGCATCTGCACCTCTGAAAAAAATGCTTGGCCACCCCAGCTGCCACCCTAGTTTGGGGTCAGATGTCAATTTAAAACTTTTGAAAAAAAATGTTTTGGGATGCCTTTATTGGACAGCTCAAGATAGTCAGGAAAGGGGAAGAGAGAGGAGATAAAATGCAACAAGGACCAGCTCTACCAGGTGAGCTCCAAATGCTGCTAAATTTAATTTTAAAAACAATTAATTTGTATTTTAATGATCTGTCATGTCCACATGAGATAGTGATAGTCTTAAATTTAATGAAAAGAGACTTGTATTTGGAACAATGTATTGATTTCTAATACCGCCTTTAGGTATTTCTATTCAATGTTTTAGTGCCACAATTATGTTTTTGAGTTCAAATATCTTCATTTTGGGGCTTTTCCGTGTTGTTCGACCTATATTTCAATTCAATTCAATTCAATTCAATTCAATTCAATGGGGTTTTATTGGCATGGGGAATATACGTATTAGTAAGAAAAAGGAAAAGTAGTTAAAAAACACAAATACATTCATTTTTATTAATGTCAGTGTGTGTGTGTGTGTGTGTGTGTGTGTGTGTGTTTGTCCCTTGGGTTATAGCATCCTTCTCCTAGGATTATTTTTAATCTGGAGCGGCCACTTAGATTGTTGAAATCTGAGATTACAGAGTTTCATTTGTTAAAATAAACATTCCTTATATTATCAAATGTTTAACATTGTAGGAGGAAATGCATCTCTTTCTGTGGCCCCTTAAAGTCTCCATGCCACCCCATGAATATTTCTCTAGATCCGGCACTCACTATTGTATTAGGGTCCTGTGGGACCCCCTCAAAAGCACCCAATTCCACCTATGCAGTTTTAATTAATGGGACTATTTATTGAGTTGAACACCACTCGCATCTGTATTTGACAACGGACAATGAAGGACGGCCATGAAAATTGCAAAAACCACAAAAGGCCCTATCAACAGCCAGTGTTATGGCTACTGTAGAAACATGGCGGTTCAACATGGTGGACTCCATGGAAGGCGACCAGCGGTGTCTGTAGAAAAAAGCGCCTCATTCTAAGGTAACAAAAACACAACTATATAGTATATATTTATATATTATATTTATTACAATATTATATTCAATTTCTGCCGATAGATCCTGGTTAATGTTACACACTGGACTCATTTTGTGTTAGTTCTGGCAGCCCCTGTGGACACCACCTTGTTTCATTGATTTCAAGGGGAAACACACTGGCCCTTTAAATGAAAGATCAGCATACTTCTTCCATGACTGCTTTTTATTGACCTTCCAGGGGTGGATCTAGAGGGGAGGCATAGGGTGACAGTAGCCACCCCCTTAAAATGGTTGGCCACCCCAGGTTAATTTTCAAAATAACATATAATTGATCTGTTTTGGTCACATTTTAGACTAAGTGATAAGGTTAAGTTCAATGGAAAAAGACATGTATTTGGAAAAATACAACAAAACAATTCATTGATTTTTAATCTAAATTTTAATAATTTTTTAGATATTTTTATTCAGTGCTTTACACTGAGTTAATTTAACTCAAACTGTTGAGGAAACCTTCAACAGTTTTTCCAACAATTTAAGCATGAAAAAGACCAACAAACTCATTTAGACAGGTAAATTAATTGTACTTCATTTACCTGTCTAAATACACTGAACAAAATTATAAATGCAACACTTTTGTTTTTGCCCCCATTCATCATGAGCTGAACTCAAAGATCTAAGACTTTCTCTATGTACACAAAAGGCCTATTTCTCTCAAATATTGTTCACAAATCTGTCAAAATCTGTGTTAGTGAGCACTCCTCCTTTGCCGAGATAATCCATCCACCTCACAGGTGTGGCATATCAATATGCTGATCAGACAGCATGGGTATTGCACAGGTGTGCCTTAGGCTGGCCACAATAAAGTTTTGAGGGAGCGTGCAATTGGCATGCTGACTGCAGGAATGTCCACCAGAGCTGTTGCCCGTGAATTGAATGTTCATTTCTCTACATTAAGCCGTCTACAAAGGCGTTTCAGAGAATGTGGCAGTACATCCAACTGGCCTCACAACCGCAGACCACGTGTAACCACACCAGCCCAGGACCTCCACATCCAGCATCTTCACCTCCAAGATCGTCTGGGACCAGCCACCCGGACAGCTGCTGCAACAATCGATTTGCATAACCAAAGAATTTCTGCACAAACTGTCAGGAACCGTCTCAGGGAAGCTCATCTGCATGCTCGTCATCATAACCAACTTGAGTGGGCAAATGTTCACATTCGATGGTGTCTGGCACTTTGGAGAGGTGTTCTCTTCACGGATGGATCCCGGTTTTCACTGTACAGGGCAGATGGCAGACAGCATGTATGGCATTGTGTGGGTTTTGCTGATG